CCTGGGCTTTGATGGGGGAACTCAGCTTTGATCTTCTTTTGAAGTCCTGGCCAGCAACTTCAGGGGAAGAGTTTGGGGAGGGGGGAGATGAAAAAGCAGAGGAAGCCAGAGTGGGAGAGGAGAGGAGGGGTACGTGTGCGCACATGGGGGGCAGGAGATGGGAGAGAGAAACAGATGTGTGAAGGAGAAGAGGGGAGCCGGTGGCTGGTGTGAGGCAGAGTGAGAGGCTGGGGGGCGAGGTCTGGGGTAAGGAAACGCGGAGGGCAGATGGGGAGGGTGGGCCAGGTGGGGGAGCAGAGGAAAAGGGCCCACAGAGACAGGTAGGCTGGGCCCCAGTTCCCAGCCTCTCCTGCCCAGGAGTCTGGGCTCCTCTACAACGATGCCTTCAGCTCCCTCGCCCACTGTTCCCAGGCTCAGGGTCCTCCTCTCCCCAGGGACACACCTCTCTCTGGCTGGCTCTGCCATGGGCTGCTGTGGGTGTTCAATGGTCCAGAGATTCCAGCAAGTTCCTGGCCAAGGCCTCATGGGAGGCATCAAATGGCCGCAGGGATACCGTGAGCTCACATGGGCACTTTTCTTGGGGTCTGTGGCCCAGGCCTGCACCCCAATCTAGGGGTAGGAAGGGGGGTGTGCAGGGGAGAGTCTGCCAGTGTGGCCGTGTGGCCCTGCACCTGTTCCTGTCTGACAGCCGAGTTCCTCCTGTGGGGCAGCCCCAGGCAGGCAGTGGAGAACCTCGTGGGAAGGGGCTCCCTGGCAGACAGGGCTAATCCCCAACTCCGCAGCCCCCTCTCCTCCCAACTCCACCCGCTCCCCAGCCCTGTCAGCTCGGGTAGCTCCTCCCCGATCCTGGGCACCCTGCTCCAATCCCTTTTGGATTCTGCACCTAAACAGAGCATGCCCCTCCCCAAGGGCTCTGTAGAGGGTGGGAATGTTTGGCAAGTAAAAACCAAGAAGGGAGGTGGCAGAGCCCTCCTTTCTTTGGGTTTCCGCCAGGAGCGGCTGGGATTGTACCCGCCCAACTTCATGTACTAAAGAGAGACTGGGAGGGCTTCCAAATTAGGATTTATAGGATTAATAGCTTTTTTCTGCCCCCACCCCCCCAGTGTGCTTCCCTCACCCGGCCTTGCTCCTGCCGTTGGGCTCCTCCTGGGCCAGACCTCACAAGAAGCTGCAACGGCCCATCCCTGGAGGGGAGAGTCACAGGTGCCCCCTCTCTCGGGTCTGCGGCACCACCTGAGAGGTGAGGATGAGCTGGGCCGGGGGAAGCAGGGCCTGGACCGGGCTCTCCTAGGACGGCTGTGCACAGGGCCTTGGGAGGCCCCTGCTCCCTCTGCTCTTTACTGTTATGTACCCAACAGGGTGAGGCCAAGCGATCCACCCGTGGAGGTGCCGGAGACAAGGCCCTGCTGCGGCATGATGGGCCAACTGTGGGGGCAGAGTCCTGGCTATTGTGGTCTCAGAACTAAACTGGATCCTGGGAGGTGGGAACATTCTCTGGGGTCTCCAGAGGAACCCCTCTTGGGCCGGCCCCTGCACCGGGCCTCCCTCACACTCAGCACTGTCTATCACTCCTGACCAGCCTTACCTGGCCTCTGCTGTCCTTTCCTCTGTCCCCTTACGCCTACTCATCCCCCAAAACAGCTCAAGCACAAGGGCCTCCAGACCAGGTTTCCTTATCTGCAGCCACAGGGTGGGGCCTTTGGCCCGAGGCTCCAGCACTAAGGATAGTCAGCTTCCTTTGACACTCCCTGGGGGAGGGCATGTGTTTCCTGAACCTCCTCTCATCTTGCCCTCTCCAGAGTCATGTCTGGTTCTGTGCTCTGTGGCCTGCATGTAACTCTCAGGGTCTTCCAAGGCCCAGCTCACTACACACCCCCTGCAGAGCCCATGAGTCTCCTTCAGCCAAGCGCTTAGGGGCCCTGAGCTGTCCACCTTACTGGTGGTCCCTTGAGGCCAGGGGCCAGGGGCCTCCCTGGACCCCAATCCTCAGCACAGTGGCTGGTACGAGCAGATGCTCAATGAAGGTTGGTCAAATTTAACTGTTCACCTGGGCCAAAGGAGATCAAGAGGGAAATGTGAGCACGTAGTCTCATGTAGGCCCCTTGATGGGAAAATGAAGTGGAGCATCCGGGTGTCTGATGAGGGCAACGGGCCGTCATGATGCAGGGGGTGAGAAGAAGGAGGACTGTTGGAGCAGGAGGAGCCCTGGAGGTTATTCAGCCCATTCTCTTCATTTCACAGGTGGGAGAATGAGGCTCACGGGCACCAACACCATGTGCTTAGGGCGACACAAATTGGTGGCAGAAAGGCCACCTCATTCCAGACCTCCGAGCTTCTTCTGGTCCCCGTTCCTTCCTCTACACCCCTCTGGTCCCCACCCACCTTCCCCTTCCCACTGCAGGGCCCCAGCCTGGCTTCCCTTCAGCTGCCTACGCAGTTACGGTACAGGCCCTGATGGGAGGGCCGAGGGGGGCCAGCAGAGCAGGCAGGTGTTGGCCGGGGTGTACCTGTAGTCCAGAAGCAGGGTGGGCCACTAGGGGTCGTGAGCTAGGGTGGGCTCAACTGGATGGTGGCATATTCCACAACCTCACCAGGGCCTGGCACAGTGTTCCGTGGCCCTGGCACGAGTTCCAGGGCTGAGGTGTCCAGCTCTGCATAGCAGACATCAGTGTCCTTTAGGCCAGAATCCTGGGAATGGGGCAGAGGAGGTGATGGCAGGAGGGGCATCCAGGGTCAGGTGGGGGATGAAGCGGCCCAGGGCCCACGTTGGGATGAATGGGGAGGTTGAGTGTGCCATGGGCACATGAGAGAGGATAAGGGACACAAAGGATTGGGGGGTGGAGAAAGAGAATCAGAAAATGAATTCATTGGTGGCACACGATTGTACTCCCAGTTACTCAGGAGGCTGAGGCAGGAGGATCTCAAGTTTGAGGTCAGCCTGGGCAACTTAGTGAGATCATATATGTATAGCTGAGGGTGTAGCCCAAGGATAAAATGCCCCTGGCTTCAATCCCCAGTACTGGGGGAGAGATCAATAAAAACAAAGAAAGACATTTAGAAGATGAACAGGCCACAGGCATTTATGTGCTCTGCTAGGCTGTGCTCCCTGGGGCCCTGGCATGGGTGGGCAGAGGCAGGTGGGTACCACTCCTGGCCCCACTTGGCTCTGAGAGAGGATTTCGGCCCACCCTCTCATTTTGCAGAGGGAAGAGACAGGCCTAGAGGAGGGCCGTGCCGAGCCCGGGGTCTGCAGCAGAGCCCAGAGGCATTAGGCGGACCGTGGAGACCAAGCATCAGGCTTTGGATTTTAGCTGGTCACTTGCCGTGGCCCGATGGGAACACAGCCTATCTTTCATTTGTAAACTGGAGAAATAAAATTCAGGAGCATTAGCCCTATTGCTACAGCCCTGGCTCCAACTCCCACCCTGGCTGTTCCGTGGCCCTGCGTTACCTGGGCTCTTAGTCTGGGAATTATTAGGGTCCGTGGAAAAGCAGAGCCCTCCCTGCCACGGCTGGGGGTGGGCACTATTAAGTCACACTGGGGTGCCGAGCCCTTCTCCCTCCTGGGGCCTCGGTTTCCCCTTCAGCAGAATGTGAGGGTGGCTCGAGGCCCGAGGCCCTTCCAGTTCTCATCTCGGGAGTTTCCCTCACAACCCGCTCCTCCTCGGCTCAGTGCTGAATGCAGGTGCCCAGGCAGACCGTGTCCTGACCTCAGAGCAGCGCCGAGGGAGAGCTGGGGTGTCCCAGGCCGGGAGGGCAGAGGCTGGAGCAGGATGGGGGGGTCTGTGCTGTTGGAGGGGAGCCCCTGGGCTGGCCCCACGTGTGGCCCACTCTCTTCCCTTGTCTGGTGGCCTCCTGATCTTAGTTACCACCTAGCAATGCCCATCTGGTGACTGAGGTCAGAGGCACATGGCAGGGCTAAGATTAATGCAATTAGCTCCTGATTTCTTACAAGTGAGAGTCATACCCTGACACCTTGTCCCTCTGTCCTTGGTATTTCCAGAGCTGCTTGGCATGGAGGATGGAGACCTTTTTTTTTTTTTTTTCCAGAAACAAAGAGCCTCAGGAGAAGGTTTGGGATATAGAAGGCCAGAGACAGAAGGAAAGGGGTAGGGCTGGACAGATAAGAGTCTGGGTCCAATCCATACATGGAGGGTATCTGTGGCTGCGAAAGAGGAGTCAGGCCAGTGGGGAAGTGTGAGGAGGAGCTGCTGAAGAGCCTCCAGGAGGCAGCCTAGACTGGCCTCACCCCATGGCCTCAGAGGTAGTAATAGCCTGGGCCTGTCATAGGGGTCCACAGGTGGGAAGGGTGAGTGGCCGCCACTCTGGGATGCTGTGGGAACCATGCTACGGAGGCAGGGACTGGACACAACCACTGTGTCCCCCATTTCAGGTACCAGTGGTGAGGGAGGACTGAGTGAAGCCCTCTCTTGTTCTCCACTATTGTGAGGATGGCTGGGGATGGGAGCTCAGGTGGCTTAGGCCAGGTGTCCTGGAGCGGCCCAGACTCCACAGGTTCCACTAAGGCCGTTTACCAAGAGACCATCAGTGTCTAGGTAAATTCTCTCTGTAGGTGCTTCTCCACTGAGCGCTATCAATAGGCACAACCGCGGCTCTGACCCCCAGCGAGGCCTGGGAGACTTGGCAGAGATGACAAAAGGTAGCCTGGGAGCATCTCATCAAGGTAGGGGGAGGGGGCTTTCCAGTTTGCTCTATAGGTTCCACTGTGCAGTGAGCCCTGGGCACGTTGCCTTCAGCCTTAACAGAATTTGTCTCAGAGACAGTGGTGACCTGCAGCTCCTGCTAGGCGATGCCCTGATGGGGGCAAGAAGACAGGTACAAAGGATAAAGTGGAGATTCGGGTCTGGCTCACTGACTGATGGCAGGAAGGACCAGTGGACTGCAGAACACAGAGTCCCTGGCACAAGGCACTAGCCCTGTTGCCAAAGATTTCACCAGTGGTGACCTGGGCGAGCACACTGGTGGAGGGACACTCTCAGGTACAAAGTGTAGCATTCTAAAGGGATTCAGGGGACAGTGCCTGCGAGGACAGCGTGTTGGCTGGTCCTTGTGAAGTCATGTGGGCACCACTAGTGAATAAAAAGAACTGAAAACCATCAAGAATGAAAACTTGGTGTGAGAGCCAGAGACCTTCTGGAAGCTTCCAGAGAGACCCCATCTCCTGTAGTGGGGGGATGCAGCAGCTAGGAGCAGACAGGATTTGAGAGCAGGAACCACAGAGCTTGGGAGAGGCTGGATCAGGCAGGCTTATAGCACCAAGGTAAGGGCCCTGCTCAGACGACCTGGGACCCTGGACTCTGGTGAAGGTGAATGAACAGAGCCCTGGGGATATGTCTATCCCTCAGAGCAGGAAGAGGTGGCCTACCCTTCACTGGTGGGAACTGCTGCCAACCCAGGCTGGAGGACACTGCAAGGTCTCTGCCCTGCAAGGTAACGGACACCACCCCCTTGAAAGCTGCTCCCACCCCTGTTCCTGGCCGGTGATCCCTGTCTTATCTCCGTTCAATCTGTCAGTCTGGCCCCTACAGAAACCAGATGGTTTCTAGAGAATGAGGTTTGAGGCTGTGGTCTGAATGTTGGTGTGCCCCAAATTCACATGTTGAAAGGCTAACCCCCACGATGATAGCTTCAGGGATAGGGGCCTCCAGGAGATGAGTGGGGTTAGTGCTCTTCTAGAAGAGCCCCAGGTGCCCATTTATACCATCTATGAACCAGAGAGGTTCACCAGACACTGAGTCTGCCAGCCTTGGCCTTGAACTACTCGGCTTTCTCAGAAGTGGGAGAAATATGTCCCTCTTGTTTATGAGTCACCCAGTTCATAGTATGTTGTAACAGCAGCCTGGACAGACTACGACTAGAGGCTCAATCAAGAGATAGCTCCAGTTGCAGCTGCTGGAGCAGTTTTCTACATGCCATCTGCAGAACCAGCTTGGTGGCAATACTTTGAAAGGCCTCTAAATGGTGCTGTGTCCCCAAAAGGAAGAATACACAGGTCTGGGAACAAAAGATGAAAGCCAGAAGGAGTCACTTTCCATTGCTCCCAGTGAATGAGTGGGGCATTCCGTGCTGGACTCTGTCTGTGCGGCTGAGGGTCCCATTGGGCTGGAAGCCAGGGCTGTTCTGAGATTAGAATACTTGGACTCCATGTGTTCAGGAACCACCGGGCAAGAAGGGGAGCCACATATTGTCAGGGGTAGTTGAGTCGGATCAGCAGGAGGAGATCAGGCAGCTGCTACCCAGTGCAGGAAGAGGAGAGAAACCAGAAGCCACGCTTGGTCTACTTGGGTGCATCTTGTGGTTTCACTATGAGGGGACACACACAAGCCTGCACGAGAAGAGTGTGCTTATCAAGGACTCAGGGGCCTTGGGAATGGAGGTCTGGGTCACATCAACAGCTTAGCCACCAGAATCTGCTGAAGAGGTAGTATGGCAAGGGGATTTGGGGATGGATGAGGAGAGATGAGTACCGGTGGTGGCCCTAAATTTGCCCTAGCAACAGGGGCCCCATCTTCAGGAGGAGAGCCTTACCGAGTCATGGAGAAGCTGCTCCCTGAACCTGGATGGATGAGAAGATCTCTCATTGTGGGGGTGCACCACGGCAGCTGTGCACACATGGCTCAGATACCCCACAGTGGGACCATGGTGGGCTGCAGCCCTACCTGCTGCTCCATCCTCCAAGGTCATGGGGGTGACTCATCTGCTTCTAACCTGGGCTCTCTGTGCTCATAAGGCTGAGGAGTTGGAAGCCTCTCTCCTTGAGGGTAAGGCTGTGTCCCTCTCCCTTCTCTTGCAGACATGAGCTTTGAATCCTCTGAAGTCCTCCCTAAGATCTAGCCTAGATCCACAGGTTCTACAAATGGTACCTGCTGCCTGACTTCTAGCCCAGAAACCTTGGCAGACATGAAGGGGAGCTATGGTCTTAGCACTCTGGAGTGTTTGTGCAGCATGAACCTGGTCCACACAAAGAGAAGCTTGGGCACACTCAGGCTAGGAGGAGGAGGTCAGGCTGAGTTTGAAGTGGACTGGAACTCACAGCCCACTTTAAACTGAGTTTAAAGGAACCTTAAGTTGGTGACCCCAAGGCTCCCTGCAGTTTCCCAGATCCTCTATTCCCAAAGTCCTGCCTTGGTGAATGGTGCATGCTCTGCCACACTCTTTCTCACCACTTGTTGAGAAGGAGAATTGATGACAACATCAATAATGTGACTTGTATACAAGCAGCACTGACAACAAACCAGAGTACAGGGGATAAATCCTTCCCCGGCCCAGTAATTGCTCTGTAAGCCAAAAGGAATTACTTTCTTGGCAACAGCAACAGAGCCTCCCTGGGATGCCAGGGTTTCCCTTCCCCTGGGGACCTCCACACACCACCCCACAGGCCATTCTTACAAGCATCTGTCACATGGCCCAGGGCTCATGTAGGACCCAGTGGGGCAGATGCTCTCCTTGACCCATCATCTGGCCCCTCCTGCCTGTGGCTGGTGGATAGAGGTGGCTCCCTCTGCCCTGTGCCCCAAGAGGCTGTTGAATGGTTAACCTTATCTGGGGACTTCATCAATCCAACTTGGGCACAGCCCAAGGAGGGACGGCTGATGGGGAGGAGGAAGCATAGCCCTTTGCTGGGCCTGAGGCTCAGATGAGGGAGGAGGTGGGGACAGGAGGGATTTCTAGGGGGGGCCTTCAGAGTGGATGCTGTCTTTGGGCTAGGGCTGCCAGTCACGGCCTGACTCCTCCTATGTCCCCAGGGAGGGCTGTGCGTGCCAGGCTGAGGGGGCGGTGTCAGAGAGTGGGATGGGGAACTTGTTCTTGGGGACTAGGGCCAGCTGCAGCTGTCCCCTTATATCTCTGCGATTTCATGCTGAGCCTGGGCCCACTCTTCAGGGGGTCCCACTGGAGTCTTTCCAAATTGCTAACCTCCATCATATTCTTTTTGCATGCCTCGGCCCCAACTCCTTCTTCCTGTTCCTTCCTCCTACAGCTCTGATGAGTAAGGTGATGGACTCTTGACTAGAGGCTGAAGGAGAGGCTGATTTGGCAAACCCTGGGTGGGGCACAGCTTTCTCTGTACCGGAAACAGTGGATCTCCCCCTTCCATTCGACCTTGCCCACTTTCAGGGCTACCTGGCCTGCTCTCTGGGCAACAGGCAGCTGACCTGGGCTCTGAGGCTGCAGAGGGCTCCACATTCCCTGAGTTGCCACCTGTGGCTCTGGGCTTCTTTGTCTTCAGGTGAAGTCCCCACACCTCTGCTCCTCACAGTGGCTACGGCAGGGTCAGTGCCTGCACTTGGGAGCCAGAAGACCCTGGGCTTTTCCTAGTCGCTCACTGGGGATTCCTGGGCAAGCTCCTAATGTCATGGAGTTTCAGTTTCCTCATCTACCCATGGGGGCAATGAGAGACTTATCATAGAGATTGCTGTGAGAGCAGAGAAACGGAATTGTGTTTGAGAAGCAGCCTGCAAGGTGCCTGGTGTGTGGGTGCTCTGCACAACTGTGGTCTCTTTTGTTGGGGTCCGTGGGCCACACGGTGCAGACTGGGCCATGCTCTAAACCCTCAGATGGGAAATGGAGTGGTCAGGGCTTGTCTGAGGAGTGGGCTTTGTGTCCACAGTGAGTTCCAGCCCACTTTCAAGTTGACCAGCTGGGGGTCTTTCGCCTCTGCATATTATCAGAAGGCAGAGGCCAGGCTGGTCTTGTGGGCCAGCACCCTGGAAGGGAGAGCCATCTCCCCGGGGGAAGGATTTGGCACTTCAGTGGGCCTTAGAAGGCACTTTCCGCCAAGAGGGAGGATGGCTGTACTGTGGAGACAAAGGTACGGCTCACCCACCAGTGCCAGGAGAGAGGGTGTTATCTTTAGGCCCAGGCGCTCTGGCCTGGGTCTCTGGGATGGCAGCATATGGGTACCACCCCCAAGCCCCATGCCTGCTGGAAGGAACAGGGTGTGGGCAGAGGTGGCAGCCATTCAAGTGGACGGTGGCCCTCTGAGCAGCTGGGAGTGGGGCCAGGAGGAGGGCTGTGCTGGCTTCCTGGTGGTCTTTGGCAGGACTGGGAACTGGGGTTCAGGGTGCAGAACGGAGGGAGGGAGCTTGGGGGAGGAAGAGCTGGGCGTCAGGTAGGGCTCAGCCTCCACAGAAGCCCCACTCTCCCACTGTTCTGCCCACTGTGCAGCACCCCTGTGCCCAGGGCACCTGAGCGGTTCCACCCCCGGGTAGAGGTTTCCTTCTATGGTGGGCTTCCTGTGCCCACCCTGCCCTGGCCTCCTCAGCCTCCTTTGCCCTCTCTTCACCTAAGGCAGCTGAGCACATGGCCAGGCGGGTGCAGCTGGGCTGGGGGCACTCTTCTCCCTGCTCAGTTCTCCTTACCAAGGGGCGGTAGGAGGGGGAGACGCCCAGGTCGTAGTAGGGCGGGTGCAGGGGCAGCTTCGGCCGTTCCTCTTCCTGCTGCTGCCTGCCTGGTTCCAGATGGGGACTCTGGAAGAGAAGGAGATGAGTGCTGCCGTGGCCTGCTCCAGGCAGCCCACCACACCCACGTCTGACTAGGACTCCCTTCCTCGGGTCCTGGGCATCCCATGGGCACCACCTACACGGTGGCTATCTGGGAGGGCGCACCTTGAGCCTTTAGTGTCACTTCCTCTACCAGGGACCAGCACAGGCCAGGCAACTGGCAGGGACCCAATGAACATTTCTTTCTTTTTTTTTTTTTACTTTTTAAAGACAATGTTTTATTTCTTGCATAGGATATATTGTCTTTGTCATTTAAAAAATCAGTTTTATTGAGGTATATGTTTGTTATGATAGAACATACCCATTTTAGAGAAGTCATCTTAAAAAAATCACTGGAAAAAATTATGTCGATAGATATCAAATAGTCTTCAGTTAAAATGTTCCAGGTAGTGGTTCCTATAGCTTATTTTTCTGGTAGAGCAAACCGGATTCTTTCTTTCTTTTTTTTTTATGAACATTGTTTAAAATGAATAAATGGACTAAGAGGTGGGGGAAGAGATCCCCTAGGGGTCCTGGGTAGGTGGAGTCCTGGGCAGGGAGGGTCTTAATTTGCCATCTCTTGGGGTGAGGGGCAGGTTGTCGGCCTGGGCCTGGCTTATGCTGGTGTGATAGCTGTGTCCAGATTGGGCTCCCTTCCTGGGTCATCTCCCATTTTTTTCTCCCTGTCCCCCTAGTCTAGGGAACTTGTTCTCTGCTGCCCTAGGCCTACCTGGATGTCCTCAGATGCAAGGTGGCTCTGACTGTTGGGAGGAGGCTCCAGCTTCTGGGAGGGGGACAGGTCAGTCCTGGGAGAATAGATGAGGTTGAGATCAGCACAGGGACTTATATGGGGGTCCCTGCCGCAGCCAGACTTCCTGACCACTACTGGTCCCTGAGCCCATCAAGATAGGCCCCAGGAAGCCCCCAGAGTGGCCAGAGTGGGACTGTGGT